AACAGTAATTTACAAACCACACTGTTGAGTATGTAAACAATTCGAATATCAGACTGGCTGTCATTAACAACAAAACAATATTTTGAAAAATATAATAAAACTATACTGTAAAACCTAGAATAGGTTTTTTTGCAAACTTTGGATGCTTTCGAAGCTACTTTTGCAAGTAAGCAAAGTAAAAAGGGGGGAGGGGGAAGGGGGCCTTCTTTTCCTACATGAATGCTGTAGATTTTGGGAATTGCTACTATAAAACAATAAATAGTGCCACTGTAACACCAGTTTGTATCATGTAGTGTATTAACTGACCTAAAATACTGTATAAACCAAGCATGTTTTTAATTTATTCTGTTTCATTAAAATCCATGTATTATCTTGAAAAGAAGCCCATGGGCTTCTTTTCGAGGCTACTTTTGCAAACTAAAGAGGGGGCTTCAATTCAAGATGGGCTTTTTCTCGAGATTAAACCCATTGGGCTCTATTCAAGGTTTTACAGTATGTGTCTTCTGTAGCACTACTGTACATAGACCTTATCACATAGCATAAAATTACAAAACATAAATATTCAATTTATAATAATTTTCTTCTTCCAAATTAACTTTGGCTGTTTTAGAAAAGCTAGAAATTGAATGTAGGACTTAAGAATATTTAAACTTAAGAATATTTAAACACATGCAAAGTAAAACTAGATAGGGCTTGGCCTGAAAAGCCATTGTTCACTGCCTCCTGTGCTGCTGTCACTAATACAATCATCACAGGCCACTGCTACAAGGGCATGTATTTTCCCTCTAACATTAGTGTAATGGTGTGTAATATTTCAACTACCTCTTCAAATTTTTTTTCCTGATTTGCAATCTGCTTTTCAAGTGATGCCATCATTCGTTTGTGTTGCTGGGCTCCACTCATCTTCTGAGGCCGCTCTTCTGCCACTAACTCTGATTGCTACAATAATGGTGAGGGGGAAAATATCAATTACAATGTTTTGAATAATAACTACCAATCACTATCATTCTAAACAAGTTCTCATAATCTCAAAAACTCTGATGAGGGCAGTATAATAGAGGCAGTAGGGTATATTGGCCCTAACGGCTGCCAATACAAAAAAAGATCTATTAATCAATCAGCAGAATGTTTCCAGAGCTCCTCATCAGAGCTAATTATACCACCATACTGTCTTCTGAAAAATTATTCTGTTAGTCTCAATATTTTGTCAGCTAAACTAAGACAAGATACAAATTTCAATTTTGATCAAGTTGCACAAAACCATATATTTTGAGATAAATATATCTAAATTGGGAAAATTGCTTAAATGTATTTGTAATGTTGCTCCGTAGTGACTTTGTTAACGTCCCTACCCCATAATAAAAATTTAGTGTTGTATGATGTATGCCTTTATTACACCTGAATATATCCCAAAAAAGTTTATTACATTAAAAAAAATGTGCGAACCTTGTCTGCATACTCAGTAACAATCTGTTGAATTAGTTCTGATTGGAGATCTAAGATTGATTCTACTCCTGCTGCTGTCAAACGACCCTGAGAAAACGAAACATATAATTGATCAAATACACCCTGTATAATAGCATTCAATCAATCAATCACTGGTTCCTTATCTTGCCACTCAATTAAACTCATTATACTTAAATCAGATCAGCCAATCAATCAATCACAACTCATTCGATCAATTAATCAGTCAAACCATCAATCACTGGTTCAATTATGTATTCACTCACCCACCCAATCACACTCAGTCAAAGGACATCATACTTAAATCAGTCAGCCAATCAGTGAATCAATCAATCACAACTCACTTTATCAATCAAAATTCACTTTATCAATTAATCAGTCAAACCATCAAACACTGGTTCAATTATGTATTCACTCACCCAACCAATCACACTCAGTCAAAGGACATCATACTTAAATCAGTCAGCCAATCAGTGAATCAATCAATCACAACTCACTTTATCAATCAAAATTCACTTTATCAATTAATCAGTCAAACCATCAATCACTGGTTCAATTATGTATTCACTCACCCAACCAATCACACTCAGTCAAACGATATCATACTTAAATCAGTCAACCAATCAATTAATCAATCCAACCAACCAAATTCACTTCATCAACCATCAATCATTTTCAATCACTTATTCAATTATGTATTCACTCACCCAGTCACACTCCTGTCTCTTATACACATCTAGATGTGTATAAGAGACAGGTACATAGACCTTATCACATAGCATAAAATTACAAAACATAAATATTCAATTTATAATAATTTTCTTCTTCCAAATTAACTTTGGCTGTTTTAGAAAAGCTAGAAATTGAATGTAGGACTTAAGAATATTTAAACTTAAGAATATTTAAACACATGCAAAGTAAAACTAGATAGGGCTTGGCCTGAAAAGCCATTGTTCACTGCCTCCTGTGCTGCTGTCACTAATACAATCATCACAGGCCACTGCTACAAGGGCATGTATTTTCCCTCTAACATTAGTGTAATGG